ACTGAGCAGCCCCTAGCAGTGCGTAAATTAATGTTGTTTATAAAAGCTACTCAAGCTTTTTATGCCAATTAGCCCTGCACAGAGAAGGGACTCCTTCCCACCCAGAGACAGAAACAGCACAGCAGTAAAATTCTGAAGTTTCACCTTATTGCCAAAGTACCAGAGACAAAATAAAGACAAGAGAGTTCCTGTCTAAAAATCAGGAATGGGGGAGAAAAGAGGAAATATCCCCTCCACGTAGACCATTGCTTTTCACTTATTAATCATTTCTTACTTAAAACCTTGTTGCTGGACTTAGTATCCAACCATCTTGCCATAAGGAATGGGACAGCTATATTTGGGTCACACTTTCCAACCATATTCTAACACAGCTACTTTTCCTGTTTCTCTATTCCCTCTCCTGTTTGAACTCATTTTACCCCTCCCTGTTACTCAACTCTCTTCTTGTATTTATTTTCCTGTCCTGAGAAAACATTTAGAAACATAAAATGTGCACAAAGCATTAGTGAAACCAGAATTGTTCCCTGTTCTCTCTTAACACACTTCCGTTCCTGGCTAATAGCAAAGCCGAACGAGGATGTGCTCAGACTTCCGGTGCATTTAGGAGTTGTAAGATAAACTCATCATTTTTCAGTTAAATATTGTGAAACATTAATTTTTAAAAGATGTTTAGTGAAGCATCATAGGCAATCCTGTTCCCAGAAGTCAGCATTAGTGTCCCTGCCTGCAAAACTGACAAAGGAGCACTATGCAAAGTATATGATGTAACACTAACATTGCTTTGTATGACTGATGACATGCTCATTCTAAGAACACACAGAGGGTTTGCTATTGCAACAAAGTATCAGATCATTATACCACCATTTAAATTAATGCTTTAAAAATACAGGTAACTAAACAGAACAATTTTCCTTGAGACAAGCAACTGTGCATTCCTGGCTACTGTATGTTAGCACATCTCTACGATATGGGCTTCCTCTTAAAGCAAAAAAGCTAAGTCCCATAAAACTGTTTTTGGATAGTTAAAGAAGTGTTCACATATTGCTTTTATTGGCAGAGACAGAACATTAGAGCTTGACTTCTATGCAAAGTTTCATATTGTTGACAAAGCTACAGGATGAGCAGACTTCTCCAATTATTTCAGTATCTAATATATACATGGCGCTGTCCCCAGAACAAAGACCCCTAGCTTACAAATTCCAGCACAAAAAGCCACTGGACCAGGCTGTATTTCTCAATCAGCATTATTGATTAAGGTACCACAGGTCACTTGCATATGTGGCAAATTTTCCCTGCTTTCTTATTGAAACTTAACATGTAGAGAATGGCACAAGAAATCTTTGGGCCCATGGCCTATTAGGGAGAGAGTGTGCATAAGGATGAACACAACCAGACATTTTGGAGACAAAAATGGCCACAGCTTTATTAGTTACAAACCAAGGAGCATTGGTGCAGCAAAGGCACGGATCCAGGATCAGACAAACCCACCTGTTTCCTGATACACACACACACACCGGCCTGCCTGCATTTGTAGAATCCTGTTAGGGATAGATCCAGGATTGGACAACCCACCTGTTACCTGAAAAACCCATCCTCCCAGCCCACTGCAATTATTTGTAGAATTCAGGAGACCCAAGTAATAAACGTTATATATATATACCTTTCCCTCCTCCACTAATTTCCACATCTCTGCTGACATAGCCAGCTAAGAGTAGATGAGAGAAAGCTACAGGTTATCATGATTAAAGGATTCTAACACCATCACAGTAAAGCCATTTACAACCAGCAGACTGGGGGTTCTTGGTCATAGAATTTAGAAGGGGCAACACACACAAAAAGCTGTTCATTCACACAGTATGTCCCCCTCCCAATAATATCTTGTATTTTGCACACTCAGTAAATGAAAATTATCGCCAGTTTCCTCACACTTATGGCTTTTACCCTAACAAAAAGCTTGCTCTTAATGACAAAATGAAAATCAATATAATAATGAAAGCATGAATTGTCTAAAAAGAATGGTTGAGTCAAGTACAGCTCATATTGGGGCAGCATTACTCAAGAATGTGAACAACCTAGAGTGGGGAATGGATTGAGATGGGTGACAAATCCCATTACCAATGTACAAAAGTTCAAATTTAGATTCTTCTACTTATTTCTCTTCCTGGATATATTCACCATCCAATGATGAATGCTATTGGATTGGAGAAGATGGAACTATTTTAAAAAGGTATAAACATTAAGCAAGCCTCTTCCCACAGAATTCATTAAGACAACTAATACCCCCCTCTGCTAATGGGGAGTAAAAAATTTGTGCTGTGACACCATATAATTTTTTTTTATTTTTAGAGATTATTTTTGTATATTACCAAACTGTTTTTAATATAGCCTTCTGTCCCAAATTGTTGTACACCACTTTGAGCCCACTCTGTGGGGAGGGTGATACATAAGTAGTAGTAGTTGTAGTTGTAGTAGTAGCAGCAACAATAATGATAACAATAATAATAGTAATGATAATAACATCATCATCATCATCATCATCATCATCATCAAGGTATTTTGACAAAATCCTTAAAAGCAGGTTTTCAAAAATAAGAATCTAAAACCTGAACTTTTCCACACTGCTGCAAAATCTTGTTTCAGGTCTCGAATGCCTAATATATTGTTTATAACATACAAAGCAGAGGGCATTAACAATTTTGTTCTGGAAGAATAATTCTTTAAGAAATAGTTAGCTCTGTTTGAGAGCAAAATTGCTCCTTTCAGACTAACATTCAAGTGGGTTCTTTTTCATCCCTGAATTTTGCACTTCAGTCCAAAATCAACTTTTAAAAAAATCCAAGAGACCACTGGCTTGCCTTCATCATGGAAATCATTTGGAACTATTTCAGTCGCTGTCACTTCTGCCTTTCATACAAAGAAGAAGAAAAAGACCAGCTACTGATAGTAAGACTTCCAGAGCAAATAGATTTGAATCCAAAAAGGCCATAAACACACAGTAACACAAGTGGCATATCGAGCTTTATAGATATACACATACAGCAGCCAGAAAACAATGTAGCTATTATACCATGTCTGAAGCAACCACTGGAAAAAGAAGGGTAAACACTATCTTTGTAGAAATACGTTATCTCAAGACTGGACATTAAGGGGGAAATGACATATGTTGCTTTGTGAAGACAATGGTTACCTTTGCTGCAGAAGTGCAAGGCCCCAGCTCATGGGATCATCTCAGGAGGGGCTCCAAAAGTGGGCCTGCAGTTCCGCATTTGAAGTGGACATTACCACGGGGAGGAGTGTCGTAAGACCATTAAATCCAGAGTTTAAAATTACCAACTACACCACTGACGCAGATCCCATTTTGTGGTCTTCACAAATGAACTTCAATGAAATTTAATTGTATTTTACTGCAGAAGTCAGTACAGAATACGGTGAACATCACTATTTCTCACGCAAATGCACACACAAATTTCTGCGTCTTGTGTCTGTACCACATTCAGCAGCACACAACAATTGTTTCTTTTGTAAAAGCAACAGGTCCACTCACAAAAAGAACAAATAACAATAATAGCTAAGTCTCTAATAATTTGTGAAGACTTCTAGCCATCCCTAACTGAAGAATAATACAACTGGAAGAGTATTTATAAGCCTGCAGCATTTGTGATCTATTGAACAGAAATGAATTTCACAACTAATATCAGCTCCAAATAACCAGGGCCATGAACTTTTTAAAATTTAGATTAATTTCAATAGCACCCAGGAGGTTTGCAACACAAAATTATGTTAAAACCAAAATAATAATACAATATGAAATTACAAGTCTACAAAACTCTGCTTGTGTTTCTCAAGGATGATGACACACAGCAAGTTCAGAGGAGATGAGCTGTTCAAAGGAAGACAGAAAAAGCCCAGCATCCCTTGGGTATCTCTCTGGATCTAAGCCACTACATATAAATGTCTCTGTGTGTGCAGACACACATGACTACAAATGATAAAGCATGTGCTCATAAAAAGATCCTAAACAGGGCTTACCCTGAAATGTAAGGGTAAGGTGACATTAAACTTTGCAAATAGGAAAAGAATCTTCCATGTTTCTGGCTGTTTGATTTCTTTGAAATATCAGTGTTATACAGAATAGACTTTTATCGCTATTCTAGAAGTGTTCAAACCGAAACCTTTTTTATTGAGCTTCAAATTTTCACTGAAGCAACGTTTAGGTTCTCAGCCTGAAACCTATGGGAGAGGCTCATTAAACAGCCTACAAACCTTTTAAAAATAAATACAACATACTTGCAAAAGCTATTTCCGGCACGTAATCTTTTCTGACACTGTATATGGAAACCATGGAAATAACTTGCATTAGTACAGCATGCAGAACCAGCTTAGATGCATTCCATACCATTAACAGAGAGCAATACAGCAAAACTGTAGAAAAGATCTGTAACTAGATATAGTGACACTTGGGCCTGTGTGTGACTAAGAGACCATGGATAATGGTTAGTGCAAAATGTGGGTGAAAGACAGCATGGATTCCTTCAAACCTAATTTTTAAAAACTAAGTAAAACTCAGCAGAAAAAGTTCACAATGTATATCTTCATGACAGCAGAAAGAAAAAAGAGCATAAAAGAATCAATTTAGTCCCTTAAAGAAAAATTATATCCTTACTAAATGATTATGCAGAAGAAGTCGCATCTACTAATCAATACATGATCTATCCTGTCCCTCTAACACAGACAAGAACTACGGCTTCTATACTGCTTACTCCATCAAAGTCCCATAATAACCTCAGAACCACTGTTACTTTCCCCATGGATACTGTTAGAGATTTTATAGTACATTCACTGGAACTGAATAACAAAGCAGCAGGGTAGGGGAAGGCTGTGTATACCAAGAAAATTATATTTTATTCAGTACATGAAATGGATACAACTAGACATGACATAGGAGTACCAAACCTGAAAGATGAAGGGGACTCTATGCAATAAAATGCAGAATAACTTACTGCCCAGGTTTTTGTCAGCCTGAATATAGGTGCGCTTTGCAGTGCTGATACCACAGACATGAGAGAATGAAGGTTGTTCAGTTCTAGAAGTTTCTGGGGGGGGGGGGAGAGAACGCAAAATTCCATTAGTTTTACATATGAGATTGGAATGTCCCAGATCACTCTACAAAATAACTGATGTTCCAGGGGCTTGCTCTTTATATTGTAAACTAGCCTGATACCCGTGCTTTGCTACGGTATTTAAGTTCCGTAAATCCAGTTATTAGCATCATATTATAAAGAGCATCACTAAGGTGATCCTGCTGGGGCGGCGTCCCTGATGGATTAAAGTACTCTGGCCCTGCTCCTATACCTAACAGTCACCCGCCTGTTTGGTGTTGGGGGGGGGGATTGTATTTAAAGGCATCGGAGAGGCTGAGCCAGCAGCAAGGCTAAGGCAATCCTGCTGAGCAAACCTCCATGGCGGCTGTAAGCATCCCACCTCCTCTCCTACACCTGACAGGCAACGGCCTGTCCAGTGTAGGACAGGGAGGGGGAAGGAGTAGTAGAAGCCACTGTGGAGGCTGGGCCAGCAGGATCACTAAAGCGTTACTGCTGAGATGGGCTCCCTCATGGCTTTAAGCACCCTGCAACCGCTGCTGCACCTGACAACTGCCTGTTAGGTGTAGGAGGTGGGGGGTGTTGGAAGCCATCAGAGAGGCTGGACCAGCAGCATTGCTAAGGTGATCCTGCTGGGGCGGCATCCCTGATGGATTAAAGTACCCTGGCCCTGCTCCTACACCTGACAGACACCCACCTGTCTGGTGTTGGGGGGAATTGTATTTAAAGGCATCAGAGAGGCTGGGCCAGCAGCAGGGCTAAGGCAATCCTGCTGAGCAAACCTCCCCGACAGCTGTAAGCATCCCACCTCCTCTCCTACACCTGACAGGCAGCTGCCTGTAGGAGGGAGAGGGGGGAGGAGTATTAGAAGCCACTGTGGAGGCAGGGGCAGCAGGATCACTATAGCGTTACTGCTGGGGCGGGCTCCCTCATGGCTTTAAGCACCCTGCAACTGCTGCTGCATCTGCCAGGTGTAGGAGGTGGGGGGAGTGTGTTGGAAGCCATCAGAGAGGCTGGGCCAGCAGCATTACTGCACCTCACAGGTGGTTGTTGGCCATTCCTGATTTCCTCAACTGTCATTAGCTGTCTGCACACTCCTGTAACTGTTGGCTTTTTTTTACCTCAGAACACTGAGCTCTGCAGCTGACCAATCAGAGAGTGGGGGTGCAAGGAGGCAGCAGCCTGGCAGCCGCATAGGAATCCGTGGGGGGAGCACATTTTACCCCTTTTGACCCCCTTAGGGGTCGAATTTCTAAAAATCCCTTCTTAATGAGCACCTACACCATGGTAGGAGCACTCTCCCCAAATCTGGTGTTTCTAGGTCCAGTGGTTTGGCTTGAGCATTGATTTTATGGTGAGGGGGGACTTTCTTTTACATATATACACAGCACCCAAAATAATCTAAATGCCTTACTGTGTTGTGAAATTACAAATGTAAAGACCAGCTGCAAGGAAGTCAATTGTGAAGTTACTCAGTGTTCTCTTTAAATTGCTTGAATTGTGAGCAAAAGATCAGCAACAACCCAAAATTCAGTTCTCACAACAATAAACATTAGGGTTTCCAACTCAAGGTTGGGAAATTCCTGGAGATTTGAAGGCTGAGCCTTAGACATGACTTTATCTTGCTTTTGACCCTCCTGACCCTACCAGGTTTAACTATTTGATGACTGCATACAGCAGTGGAAGGGGGAGAATAAGAAGAGTATGCTGTTCTAGTTCACTTGACAGACCACTATATTGGTTTCCATTATGCCCACTACGCAGGATATCTTTACCTAAACTGCTGTTTACTTTTTATTAAGTTCAATTTCTTGCCCATTTTCCAGAGCACCTCTTAATTTAATAAACTGTCTTGCTGTAAACATAAACTGCTCTTCAAAAATGAGTAGCTAATAAGTGGTCAGAAAATCCTGGTGAGTCAATCACACATGCTTCTCTCTCAACTGCTCTTCAGTGGCCAAAAGGCCTCATTTTAAAGAAACTTTCACTTATTCAGTAATTGCCAAATTTAAGCTAATTAGTTAATTCAATGTTTGCTGAATTCTGAAGTGTTTATTAGCACTTTTGTAAACTAATGAATGAAATACTAGAGTTTGGTACAATCACATCACATTGTGAAAAGTTATGGGGTTCATTCTGATTTAATCACAGATGTGAGCTAGTGGAACTGTAAACTGGAAAATTAGGGATGAGGAGGAAGTAATAATAGCTTTACATTCCATATTCTGGGAGTTCCCATTCCACTGGCTAACAGGCAAAAACATCTAACAGAATTCCATGTTAGAAAAGCTTGTGTTTTACGCAGAGCAAAAAACTTTCTCATGTTTTTAATGGCAGTATTATTATTTTTTGCAGAATGACACCCAACTTTTGTTGATAGGAACCATTAACACTGTAGTAAAATTGAGCTAGCTGATATAGTAGTCACAGTTTGCTCATGGGACAGGTTTAACCACTAGCAATTTTTACACTGGTTGAATGACTCTTTGGATTCCATTAAGAATATTTTATTTTTCAACAGTACAAGAGAAACAGGAAAAATGGAAAATGGAAATAATATTCTGAGGTGGATGTGTTTAAAAACAGCAAAACTTACCTTAGCTATTTTCACAAAATGGCTCAAAATTTCTGCCCTTATTTTTAACGTCTGTGCTGTTAAAATTTCTCGTACAACCCAGAAACTGACCTATAAAAAGTACATACATAGGCTTTAATTTAACAGGAAAGGCACGTTCCACTGAATTAAAAATCTAGTATGCTTACGACTCTTAACAGGCTGAGTGCAGAAAAGAATGTAACATTGCAAACCACTAACTACGCAAACAGAATATTCACATTCACATGTCCATGGTCAAAATACAAATAGAGACTCTGTGTTGGTGAAGGATGAGGAGTTTTAACACCTCTTATCCCATACAACAGGCATAAAACCTGCTGGAGGCATGAAGTAAGCAGACAACTAATCCCATTACAAGATATTTCTTGCAGATATCTTCAGGCTCTGTTTCTCCCTACAGTTTTCTACCAAAACCTTTGCTGATGGGAAAGAGCACTGCTCTGAAGAGGAAGACAAAGTCACTGTTCATAAAATGCACTTCTGTCAACTTGCTCTGAAACAACAGCTGTTTAGGCATTGGTAGCCTAAACTGTTGCACAGTTTGCCAAGAATTAAGATTAACGCATCAGAACACTGACTTTAACAGTGGCTGGAGAAAATCAATTTCCAAGTGTTTGGTAGGCCTGTCAATGAAGCTGGGCAGCAGGAGAAGGAAGCTTGTGGGTGAGCTACAAAAAATTGTTAGCCACAAGTATTGTACATAATGTCGGGGGGGGGGCCCCCTAATGGATAAGAATTTTTTTTAAAGCTTTCTACTGGAAGACCCCCTCAGTAAAATAACTGGGAACCGCTACCAGAGAGAGTTTTTCAGTATGGGGATACTGATTTCTCATAATGCCTACGAATTTAATACTGACTACTTATTTTCCATTTAACTGAGAGCACTGTGATTAAAATGGCATATTTGCTTAAACTTTAGTAATAGTTAACGCAACTATTTTCAAAGTATAAGAGATTGGGAAACAGCAAGTTGAAAAAATCAGAAATGTTTTATTTAACAATGTGGAAAAATGTGCAACATATTAATATTTCAATATTAATTGAAACAAATCTGGAGATATGTGATGGTCTGCATATGTTTTTCCAAATTGGCTTCACTTCGCATTACACAAGGATTACATCAGTTTCCCAGATATCTTTGCAAACCTAGTTATTTAAACAGCAACTCACTGGAGTGGAAACCCAAATATTTGTAATCATTAATAATATTCTCCTGGTATTGTTTTAAAAAAATTACAAAAAGCAAAACAAAAAGCGTTAAATACCAGTATCCTATATTACTGATTACTTTGGTTAAGAAACTAATATGAAAGCCAGCCATCAGAAAATTAGTTCAAAAGTTTTGGACGCAACCACTGCAGAACTGTCAACTGCAATCAGCGAATCATTTGTTGCTCAACTTTAACACACTGTAAGAAACAAGTTGCAGCTATCATTACTTTATGAAATTCACTAATCTATAAAACATTATTATTAATTAGATTCAGATGTAGTACATGACCAATTATACAGTATAATAAATTCAATCCTTCTTGACTCCTGCAAGACAATACTCATTTGTTAACTAGAATAAACATCTTTACCTGATTAAATCTCCTTGTAAAGGCAACAATATTAGGGGCAAGAATGTGTTTCTCTTTCTTATTCCATCCACAACTTGCTAATTCCTAGGAAACATAGCAAAACAGTTTCAAAAAAAGACACCAACTTTCACAGAATCATTTTCAAAGAAGTAAAACTGCCTATTAAATACACATGAATTATGAAATGTGATCTTTGGAACTCAGGTGTATCATAACAGAAAAACAAATACAGTGTTCATTTCTAGAAATGTAGTCCCTCTTATCAGAGCCACCAAGATTTTTAAATGTCCAGTGGAGATGCTTGCTCTCAGTAAGCATGTGCCTAGCTGATGCTAAAGCATCAGTTGAGATAGCATAGACAAAGCACAACAATCTAGGAACTGCTATAAGAACATCAAAAGACAGGCAGTCAAGGTAATAAAAAGTATCAAATTGCAGTCGTCATCAGTTCATAGAAATAATTCACTAATAAACCAAAATCTACATATTTATGGGGGGGGTAGGTGCATACAGCCATGCTGAGACACCTGTCCTACTGTGCAACTCAAATATTTTCTGTTGGGAATTAACAAAATCATTTTTTTTTCAAAAAACACAAGGTTTTTCTAACACAAAATTTGTGAGTATTTTAGGTAAGATGATCAACATAATTAGATAATTTTCCACTGATAACATGCTACTGAAGAATTTGTTCTCTTCAATGTCATAAAATTTAACTCAATACTCAAATAAGCTGCTCATCCGATTGTTAACAGATAAGACTGTTTCTGCCCAAATAATACCCTTTCTTTTGTTCATTATTAAAATTTATATTTGTGAATTTTATTTTCTTCTTTCAGATGGCAAAGAAGACGATACATACACAAATGTACTATAGGGTGCAGCAGTTTGCAGGTCCCTCTTAAGTACTGAGTTTATTAACAATTTTGTTTCCAGAAGACTAAAGCATTTATAAATTTATATTCCATAAACATGCAAATAGTTACAATTTTATATATTGTTATAAATAATGCATTTTATTTCCTTAAAGCAGCAAAATAAGTTTAACTTATTGCATATATTTGAATTTCCCCCAACATTTCTCACTTCCCAGAAAAAATGTGGGGACACTCTCCCCTGCCTCACAGCTTCAAAATTTCTGGAAACTTTATACCTTTAGACAGGACACACTCAGGTCTATCCCAATGCTCATACAAGTCACAACAGTGGTCCCCTCTTGAGGACAAGAAGAAATCTTATATTGAAAACTTATTGGTATTTTTTCTTTTTGACCAGTTTAAAAATAATATATAAGCAAATTTCCCATTCTTGATATAAATCCCCTTCCTTCAAGAAATAACAATCAGAAATCTTCCTTCAAGAAATAACAATCAGAAGTCCATTAAAATTTCATATTGCTTCTTTCTCTTTTTAGAAACAGTTCTCATAAGAAACAAAGGCCTTGTTAGTGAACAAAATAAACTAATAAACTCACAGACAATGTGAACATTTAGGAATAAACAAGAACATATCAAATATTAACTGAACTAGTACTCCCTTAAGGGCATTTAACTGTCTGTCAGTTTCAGTGAGATAATCCAGAATTGTGGGCTCCAACACTTATGGGGGAGGGGGAGGCTCCGCTGGCTGTATACAATCCACCATGGCAGAACCACACACACACACACACACCAGGTTCAGAAAATATGTGGAGTAAATTGGCCACAACTGTATTGACTACAGCTATAAGAAGCACTGGCACAGCATGGGTCCACTGAATCCCATGCATCAGTTGGCCCCATGCCAGCTGATGTACTCATCACCCAACCAGCCGGCATGGGTGCTGAACCACGGGATGGAAGGTTGCTGGAGCTCACACGGATGACTGCCTCTTAGGTCCTTTCCTCACTAGACCTTAAATCCTGGTGCAACCCTGTCCCCGAACTTACATTCTACACTACACTCGAGTTCACTCCTGTAATTATCTCGGGGTATTTTTTGCTTCCACATTACATTGAGGTCACCCCGGTTTCACCCCACACTTGTCCCAGGATAAATGGATGCTGTTATAACCAGGGATAAACGCAAGGTATTGTGTTGCACGATGAACTCTGATAAAACCAGGGATGAGATCCAAGTGCAGAAAGGACCTTAGTGGTCTCCCCTGCCATCTGGTCATGACGGCCATCACCAGTAGTCTATGAGCAGGCTTGCTCCCATCAGCCCTCATGCCAAGACCCCCTGAGGGGGCCCCCATATCCAGGAAAATGGCACACAGGCCGATTTCCATAAGCGGATCCAGCCCCATGCTGTTACCAGCAAAAGTTATGACAAGAAATATGGCATAGAATACATAGCATTACACACTTCGCTAACAACATCCCCCACCCCAATACCCCACTATACATTATTGCCTTCTGACCATGTACACATAGGGTGGGATGGGTGGGCAAGCCGTTCCGTGGCCAGGGATGAGGGGCAGGAGGCAAGTGGCTGGCCTCTTTCCCCCGCAATTGCTCTCCCATGGACACCTTGTCACATTGCCATTGGTCCCAGGGGGGGGGAGTCCTGACTTTCCCACCGCTTGGCCACCCACCCCCACCCAGCATCCAGCTAGCTCTCCCTCCCCCACCTGGCCCCGCAAAATCCAGGCCGTGCTGAATAGAGCCCTTTCTACTTTTACTATCTCCATCAGTGGGAACTAGCATTTCTACTGCCAGTTTACAGAATGTAGGCAATGCATTAAATTATTCTAATAAGAGTTTGCTGGGATTTGGACAGATTAAATGGACACCTAGACAGCCAACATCATTAATTACAATAGAATCTGCTACAGCTATTTGTTAAATAGAACATATTTTTACAAAGGCCTTGCTCTAATTGTTGGATATTCCTGAATATCAATGGACATTATTTTCTTGCAATATCAACATTTCAAAAGCTTCTTTTCACTGGTGATAAGAAAAACTGTCTGAAATGACACAGCAGTTTTACTTGGCTTGGGGCTTTTATTATAGTACCATCAGTGCAATGAATGTCTTTATTCAGCCTCCGAGGCATGGGAATGCTTTTACCCATCATTACCTCAAGGTAACAATCCTCCTCTATAATGCTGCCAGATTTTCACAAGGTGGAAAGATACTAGGAAGAAATGCCAGAGAAACAGGAAAATGCTTTCTGGTTTTGGACGGATTTTTGCATTCTCACAACATATCACTGAATTTGCAGTACAGCTGGGAATGCTGCTGCCTACCATGTAATGTGGTTAAGTGCAGCCAGCACAGCACAATGCCAATCACACCATAGGGAACCCTGTTTTACCCTAAATATAATCCAGACTATCCAGATCCAGAATATAAATTACAAAAAAGTGTTCTACAGAAAGCTGCAGCACACACACACTTTTCACTCACCACACTCTTACAAATCCTGTTGCCTCTTGGGCAGGAATTCTACACTGGCCCTCAAATCAGACTTATCCTTACACAACTTCATGAAAGAGGGATCGGGGCTCAAGACTCCTAATTCACTCACCCTGCAAGCAGGAGTTATGGCTATCAAACTGGCCATCTGGCTTGTAAGAAGCTGAAAGAAACAGGTTGCCATGGGCTCAAAGAGTCTAGACATCAGCTGAGACAAAACTAGAGACAAACTCCATTGAGGGAGAGAGGGGGAAACATTATTGATACCCCTCTGTGGAAGAGCTTGGGAGTCTTTATGAGCAAAACCTCACTCAATGGGGGCACAAGCAGCAGCAATGGCCACAAAATGAATCCTGGCTGAAGAATATGACTGGCCTGAATGCATGCTAAAAGAAATAATTCAGAATTTTGAGCTGAGAACAAGCCTTTGAGTCAAGGCCTCTTCTCCTTCATTATGTGTCCATCAAGGAAAACTTTCCCATTTAGACCTGTATGACTTATGAGTGGAGGGCTTTCTGGCATTACTTAGTGCATCCTGAACATGTGCAAACAGTCTCCTGCAGCAAGACAATCCACACCACGAACTACAGATGGATCAGGTCGTGGTGAAACTACCTTATGCATGATAAATCAACGGGCTGGTGGAAAGCGATGCAACATGCCTGTGGAAATGGTCACAGAGCAGAAAGCCTAAGCCAGTATGGGACCATCAGAATTCCCTGAAAGGAGTCCCAGTTCATCCCCATTACCACCCTCAGAGGAAGAGAGGAGGTATAGTATATCATGCACCTACTCAAGGACAGCTGGAAGGCATGCCTCATGGACTGACAGCTCCTGCCTGCTACAGAACAGAATCTGGAGCACTCAACATTCTGCTAAGTGGCAAAGAGATCAATGTGAGGATACCCCATTTAATACAGAATGATAGAAAGCAAGTGTCTCCTAGCTAATATCTGTGATCCTCTGAAGGCATTCTGCTCAGCACTTCTGCCAGGGAACTGCACCCCCAGCATTATGAATTGTTATGGGGTATGTGCCCTACTCCATGCATGAGTCCGATATAACGGTGGTCTCTACACATCTGTTTTTATTTATGTTATTTGTAGTCTGCCTTTCTCACTGGACACAGAGTCAATACAAACGCCAGTATAGACATTCAATAAACAATGCAATAGGATTAGGGCTGTAGAGCCAACCAGAAAAAATATATAATAATAATAATAATAATAATAATAATAATAATAATAATAATAACAACAACAACAACAACAACAACAATAATAATAATAATAAACAAGAACTGAACCAAAGCATAAGTATTAACATAACAACATTAAATGATGCACAATTATACAGTAAGATCCTATTTGCAGCAAACTATACACAATAGTACAGACCACAGGCCTCAATAATTTATCCAAATAACTTTGTGAATAATTTTGTACAGTGCTACTCTGCTGCCTGCATAGGAAAGCCCTCATGAATAATTCAGTTTTATGTCATTTGTGGAAAGCCAGGCGAGTGGGAGCCTTTCTGACCTCCTCGGGCAGGGCATTCCATAAGGCGAAGCCACAACAGAGAACACACTATACAGGCAGGAGCTGATTTTGCCCTTTTGCAGGTTGGCACCTTCAGAAGGCCCTGCTCAGTGAGCAAAGCTGTTGTGGAAGAGCATAGGGGGAG